GTTGCTCCCAATATTCTCTTAGACAACCTCTGAGGCCGTCACAGAGCAGCTGTATTTGTACTGACATTAGATTACACACAGGTGCACTCTGTTTAATCATTAGCACTCATCAGGCAATGTCTATGGGCAACTGACTGCACTTAGACCAAAGGGGGCTGAATAATTACGCACACCCCACTTTGCAGTTATTTATTTGTAAAAAATGTTTGGAATCATGTATGATTTTCATTCCGCTTCTCACGTGTGCACCACTTTGTGTTGGTCTTTCACGTGGACTTCCAATAAAATTGATTCATGTTTGTGGCTGTAATGTGACAAAATGTGGGAAAGTTCAAGGGGGCCGAATACTTTTGCAAGCCACTGTAGAGTGAATTTCTGTGTATGCAGACAGCAACAGATGCTGATGGACGATTTCTGCCTATTGAAACACAACCTGATCATCACACACTTCCACTTAGTTCCATTTTATTTCCATCCTGATGCACCACAGTCACTTTCAAGACAGCAACAGACTTTATGCCGTTGCAGATGAGTTTGTTCCACATGGTCTCCAACCTCTTTTTCCCCCCAAGTGTTACTGTAGCATAAGTGCACAGAATGAAGTGTTGTAGAAATATGTATGTGTGAAAAATAGTTTGTCAAGTACTTTGAGTAAACAGGCTGATAAAATGCTAAATCAAGCTCACGCCACTGTAAATTTATTGCCACCAATATGGAAAATATGCTAAATCACAACTTTACCACTCTCAGTGCCAGAATGACATTTTCTAACCTGACTGAAAGCACACTTAGTTCTACAACATGCAACATATAAATAACTTCAGTCAGCGTTTTAGATAGCTCAACTAATCTTTGATTGTATTACTGGCTCACTTCAAAAGCCAACAGGTGACTTACCACTTCCTCTCTCTCTTGAACTAACTGACTTGATGCTGTGTGTAGGTTGCCGTGGATCCAGAAAAGAAACATGGGCTTGAGAGCCTACAGCATACACTGACCAGTCCTGTCCATATGCCAGGCACACATTTTCTTTGCAATGAGGCAGCTTGGTGGACAGTATCTAGAGAAACCAACACAGACTGTTAACACTGAAGAAACTGAATTACAAAATCCTAGCATTATGAGAGAACTATTTATCATTTTGATCGCATATTAAAAATAACTAGCACTTTATTGGAAAAAGAATTACCAATACATAAAACTATAATTTGTCAATCTATGTACTGTACCTTGCACAAGTTATGCTCAGCTTTCCAGAGGTGGAAATAGCCATCCAAGGAAACAGCACCCAGTTCCTGGGAAAAAAAAGAAAAAAAAAAGAAAAAGAGGAAATGCAAAAGGAAAAGGCAGGTCATAATTGGCTTAGGTCTAGAAAAACTGACACACAGGAGTGTGTCAGTTTTTCTAGACCTAAGGCTTCAGAATTCTAAGAGCTGTCGGTCTTCGTTTCATAAATGACTACCCTGACTTAGCGATGGGTAAATTTGTTCACCGTTTTAGATGCCATTAGATACTGTTTTGAGATGCAATTTGACAAACCTCAGATTCAAGTTTATTTATTAACCTAAATAACCTTAAAGTCCACAAAGAAAAGAAATTGTTTGGTGATGTGAGGCTGAGAGAACAAGATAAATCTATACTACATGTAAAAATTTAGAGCAAAGGCATTTCATTAAAAATATTTTTAACTTTTAAGGAAAGATAATTGTTAGGTTAGCTAAAATTATAGCCATTATAAACAATATATAAAAGCTTGGTGCATCCAATCTTTTGTCGTCCTAAAGAGCAAGTTCAGCAAAAGGAGACTTTGTTGCACACAACAGTCGTGTAGGTGAGTCTTACTTTATGGTTGTTATTGAAGGCCAGAGCACGGACTTTACAGTTGTATGGGTTGGTGTACTCCTTGGGGATGTCCTTGAGGGCACGGTGGGAGATGTGGGCATAGGAGGGCACTGTCTCCTCATTTTGACTCCTCTCAGCCTGGCTCATTACTTCTTCTGTAACCTCCCACAGTCCCATGGAGCCATCTCTGGACCCTACAGATTAAGACAAACAGAGCTCATGCCTATAGACTATGTGCACCTTAGCATATGCTACTTCCGGTGGGGAAACTCCTGTAGGGCGCTTCGTTTCCGGTGTGATATTCGCGTCTTGTTTACGGTCAGATTTTCCAAGAAAAGTCAACCAAATGGATGAATCAAGCGGCGATTTACATTTCTCCAGATGTCTTGGGCATTTACCGAATATATCTGTAGATGATGCTCATCGACTTATCGATATTTTACCCTTGCGCCTCAGAGCAAAAGAGAGAAGGGATTGAAATTTCTCAGTACTTGTATATAGAGTTCCCTCGTTTATCGCGGGTGTTACATTCCAAAAATAACCAGCGATAGGTGAAATAGCCAGCTTTATTTTTTACAATTATTTTAGATGTTTTAAGGCTGTAAAACCCATCACTACACACTTTATACACTTTTCTCAGACAGGCATGAACAGTTTCACACTTTTCTCTCTTGTTTAAACTCTCAAAGTTCAAACCTTCGTTAAAAAAAAAAAAAAAGTCCATTATAGAATGAAACCAAAGATCAAAACCTGTTTTCAGTCCCAAACATTTTTTTGAGAAATAAACAAACAGTTTATTTGTTTTTCTATAAATAATAATGACAGATTTTAGAACAAATGAATTTAACTTTAAGCGTCATTGCTTAATTTAAGCTTAATGCACTTTATAATCCAGTGCGCGGTATGGTAAAAAAAATAAAAAAAATAAAATACAGTGCAAAATTGCACTAAAAGAATCTGCAAAACAGCGAGGCTGCAAAAGGTGAACCGCGTTATTGCGAGGGACCACTGTAATTGTGAAGATAAGTCACAACATACCCTTCGTAAATACTAACATATAGAGAGCCTTACCTGCAATCATTTATGTATTTTTTATATCCTCTGGCTTTTTTTCACGGTTTGTTGACATGCTGTGTAGGTGTGTACTGATATCGACATAACGGGGAAACATCTGGCTTTGACTATTGTTCGCCTGTACTTTGAATGCTGGACATTGCCTGTTTAAATCATAAGAACTGTCACTATACTGTGCTTCTGAGTGTGGACGATGTGTCTTCTGCATGCAGTAATGCAGTTCTGCTTGTGTTGAGTGATGTAAACAATCGATCTACGCTCTTCAAACATCAAAATTGATCATTTGATTTTTTAATGACACAGCAATGGTGAGCGTTCCCACCCACTGCTCTTTGTAACTTAACGTAATCTTTCCATTTTTGTATTTTAGACATGACTTTTGAGTCCACCTTCGCAGTAGCAATTGACTGCAAAATAAAGCTACTGGAAATGTACAACCCTACATCCGGTCTTAAAACAGGAAGTTAGCATTTTCTCATGCACAGGGTCTATTATTGCCTATACTACTGACCTACACACACACACACACACGCACAATCCTAGTATGCCCCTACAGAGTAAACTGATTAATACCCATGTTCCCTCCAATGTGAATCGTGCTAACTCACCAGAAACTGCCATGTTGTCACTGATCCATGCTATTGAGAATATCCAGTCATTGTGACCATCCTGAAAAAACAAAACAAAAAACAAACAGCTACAATGTCAAAGATATACAAGCTTGTACGTTTGAGGCTGGATTTCCAAATAAACACTGCTACAGTATTAGCAAAACATTATTTCAGCATTTCATTCTTCTGTGCCTGAAGGAAAGAGAACCTTAGGGAACCTGCAAGGTCAGAAGTGAAAAGCTCACAGTTAGCATGTCACAATATTCAGGCACAGGCTGTTAGCATTCAAATACACACTTAAAATTACTTACTAATCAGTGTATAGTGAACAATTTATTGAGTTCAACATTTTTACAGTGCTTTCTAAAAGTAATGTGAGTATACTACGCTCACTTGGCCACCACTACACCTGTTTAACTGCTTGTTAAGACAAATATCTAATCAACCTCTAATCAAGTCATGCAGACATGGTCAAGACGATCTGCTAACGATCAAACAGAGTATGAAATGAAAGGTGATTTCAGTGACTTTGAACACGGCATGGTTGTTGGCTGCCTAGGCTGAGTAAAAAAAAAAAAATTAAAATTAAAAAAAAAAATTAAATAAAAAGAAAAGTAAATGGCCTGTATTTATATAGCGCTTTACTAGTTCCTAAGGACCCCAAAGCGCTTTACATATCCAGTCATCCACCCATTCACACACGTGATGGTAAGCTACATTGTAGCCACCGCCACCCTGGGGCGCACTGACAGAGGCGAGGCTGTCGGACACTGGCGCCACCAGGCCCTCTGACCACCACCAGTAGGCAACAGGTGAAGTGTCTTGCCCAAGGACACGACTGAGACTGTCCAAGCCGGGGCTCGAACCGGCAACCTTCCGATTACAAGGCGAACTCTCAACTCTTGAGCCACGATCGCCCAAGTAGTTCAGAAACTGTTGATCTACTGGGATTTTCCCACAAAACCAGCTCTGGGGTTGACTGAGAATGATCTAAAAACAATAACAAAAGAAAAATCGCCACACTGCTTCAACCTGATTAGACAAAAGAAAATTGAAGAAGAAGAAACAAACAAATAAAACATTGCCTTGTCTCAAAAAATGAGAATTTTCTAGTAAAGAACAAGCATGAACCATCCAGCCTTGTATGAATGCTTTCGGGTGCTGGTGATCGTATTATTGTGGTGTTGAATATTTTTTTGCCACTCTTTGGGCCCCTTAGTACCAATTAAGCATTGTTTAAATGCAACATCCTATAAGAGTATTGTTGCTGACCTTTTATGACAACAGTGTGCCCATCAGCTGATGGCTGCTTCCAGCAGAATAATGTGCCATGCCCCAAAGCTCAAATCATTTCACACTGGTTTCTTAAACATAACAATGAGTTCACTGTACTAAAACGGATTGAGATCTGGTGACTGTGGAGCCACAGTCATCAGATCTCAATCCAATAGAGCACCTTCGGGATGTGGTGGATCAGCAGATTCACATCATGTCAATATGCACAGCAAGGATCTGTAAGGAATATTTCTAGCACATAGTTGAACTCGTGCCTCAAAGAAATAAAGCAGTTCTGAAAGCAAAAACGGGACCCAAAAAGTAGCACATTACTAGTTGTCAGTATCCTGGCACTGCATACCATCAGTCACTGTGCCAAAGGAAACATGACAAACTGACAACAGCAATTGTGCAGCAGACATGATAATTGTGCTGCAAATAACAACGAAGAGACAATGATCAGTGTAGTGACAAGATATATTTTTCATTTTGTTAAATAGCTCACTATACATTCCTCTACATACAACTGCCTGTATATGAAGTATTTAATCAGTAAATTGTTTTGGTCTTACATAAGTTGTAACATGTTATGTTGGCTTCATGTTTTAAAAAGATATGATGATCAGACAGACTTGTCACTTCATTAGACTATATTCATTCATTCAGACATTGTAACACTTAAATCTATATAGTTTTAATGGCCAAAAACAAAAATGTCCATTAAAGTTCTAACCATTTTCCTCACCATTTCTTTAGAATCTACATCTGTAGCTTAATGACTGCTATGACATGCCTGCCAATCAACACAGAAAACCATCTGTCAACACAATCCCAGACCTACTTGATTTATTGACATCTCAAAAGACACTACGTGATCGCACCTCTGCAATCTTGGAAACGAGTACAAATGAGCAGAGTGGTATTACAAAACGTTGGATTTAAAAGGGAAGCTTAATGCAATTATGTGTTTCCAATTAACCTTTTATTTTACAGTGACTTCACTCCATTTGTGTGGAGAGGGTACCATGCAGAGTGGAGCAGACATGGAAAAGGAAAACAGCATTACTGTCATTACAATGACTACTCATTATACTACTGAATAAGTGGAATTAAAGCATCTCAGCAATTTTGAACGCCTAAAATCGCTAGAACTGTTTAATGAATGTTGTCTGGTATATGGAAAGTTTGATATCATTTCTAAAGCAGGAAAAGTGGATTAATCACTATTATCAATAACCAAATGTCAGGAAACAACCAAACAGTTCAAACTACTTACATCGCCAACACAAACAGGGTCTAGTGTAGGGAGTTGATAGATGGCCAGGCTGTTAGGATTGTCTCCTCCTGTGGCAAGCAGTGTCCTCGAGGGGTTGAGTTCAATAGCGTGGATCCCACAGCCTTGCTGGTCCAACCGGGTATGGGAGATTTCTGTTAAGTGATAATTGCGACCAGGCACCACTGGACCCACCTCCCCAGAGCCTCCATCACGACACTCCCTGTCTTTCAGCATGGGAATGCGTGTGATCTGTCCTGTCAGTACATCAACTACAAAAAGCTGAAAGTACATGAAGAAAATACAGCTAGTTGGCCAAAAATGTGTGAGGACAATTGAAAAAATTCTGACTAAGCTCACTCAAGAATATTTACTTGATTTAGAGCCGATTTAAGAAATTAAATGAGGTCATGTAAACCTACTGATTAAGTGGGATTTCTGGCAAACATTATTATAACATATGGAAAAGCCTAACTAGCTAATATAGATCACAAATAAAAAGGGCATCTTACCGTGTTGCATTTTGTCCCACACACCACCTGCCGATGATTGAGCCACTGTGAGGCAAACACTTTGTTGAGCCGCCCGAGAGAAAACTCCCTCTCCTTAAGAATGCCGGGGAGCCTGCCGGCTGCAAAGCCACGCAGGCTCCTCTGGAGCCTCAACTCATGCTGTTGTTGAGGTCTGAACTCCCGCCCCCGCAGAGCACATACCACAGAGCGTCGACTGCACCACCACTGCTGGGCATGACGTGAAGAACAAGAAACACGGCTTCGCTTGTGTGGCGCCTGACACCAACCCAGCTGTGAAAAGAGAGGGAAATAAAATTAAAAACAAAATGTCTTAGTTATTATGTTGAATGTGCAATTTTGGAGATTGAATCATAAAAACAAAGGGATTACTATTACCAACACAAAACAAATGAGATTTGAATGTATGTGAATTTCAGACTTCTTCGTGCCTATTTCAATGTCTCAGCTTATTCATGCTGAGCCATACCCATCTATCTCCCACATGACTGTGGACACAGCTTGTACACAGAGACTTGAGAGAATTATCAGAGCATTTACATTTGAACATCGAGTAGTTGAGCTGGCTGTCTAAAATGGTTGCAAAGTCAAAGGGTTTTTGTGGGGTCTAATGACAAACTGTAATATCACTGATGATAAACACTTTTCCAAAAGGGTTTTGATCATGTCATGTTTGTGTGATGTTTGTCCATTAATACATTCATTTAACTTTTGCAACAATTAGTGGCTTTCTTGGCCAATGAATACTAAACTCTGGCCATATGATTAAAGCACTATCCACATTTTACAGTTTACAACCTCAGCGCTTAAAATGTTAAATAAACAGAAACAGAATCAGACTCATACTGTGTGCGATTGCTTTGGGGCATTTCAGATCCTGAATATGGGCTAATATGTAAACATATAGAGGCACAGGGTCCCCAGGACATCATTCTCACTGCTATTAAGTACACACTAGTGGCAAATCAGACTACTTAAAAAAAATAAATCATCTCATTTTCCATCCAATACAATTACAAATGTTGATTAATAATTCTCTCACACTAAGCAAACCAATTATAAGCCGGATCACAGGTCTTGAACAATGGAAGAAAAACACTCAGTATTTATGACTTTGTATGTCAAAGGAAGCCATTGTGCCATGTTGTTTTTGTCGTTCTTTCTTGTACTGTTTGAACATTTTGCCGGTTTTGTTCAATGCTGGAAAACTATTCTGACAATCTGACTCAAATCTACCGATGACGGTGGCTCCATGGGCCTGAGAGGTGCACTAGAAGCAGGTCGTGATTACTGTGACCAGTCTCACACGTTCTGGTTCAGGTCAAACACGTTTTTTTCTGATGTGCTGGACTCAGTACTGGCTATTTTGGCATGCCTACTCGATACGGTATTTCATTTGTCGACAAACGTCCAATTCGGGGCGTGGACGCAACCAATCTACGGTTAGTCCGTACATACGGGAAATGGCTAGTCAGCTTAACAGTTAACGTTTCAGCTAGCGTTAGCTGTATAGCTATCTATGCCTGATAACACTACTGAGCTATTTATAAGATCAAATCTGCTTTTATTTTTGATCGGAAGGTGACGAGAGACGGCAATATTAGAGAAAAGGACTGCCAGCAGTATCCAGCCAAATCTGATAAAGAGAATAATAGCACAAATAACGTGGCTAACATTAGCTGTCAGTTTGACAACGGACTGCCGTTGGCTAACGATATGTTAATATAAGCGGGTACTTTCAAATCGAAATATATTATGTTATTTTAAACAATACAGAATTGTTACTGTTTGTTGCATGCTTTTCCCATATAGCGAAGCTGTTAAATGTTATAATGCAAGTAAAAATCTGTCATAACATCTTATATCAGCTAAATCTGGCTAACTCACTGCTAATTAGCATCCCAACATAACAGTTTAGCTAGCTAATATGGACCCGCACCGGTTTCCGCCTACCTGTTGTTGGTCCTTGGGCTCTCCTGCCTTCCTTTTCCTGCTAACTGTTTTCTTCGCCATAATCTGACACACACAGTTCCCTCACCCACATGGAGGGTAAAAGTGACGCTGGACACTGGATCATATAATGGCGATGTCTATTTTGTTCCTTGGCCCTCAAAGGCAGCGTCCAGCGAAGAGGAAAGGCGATCACATACGGGTGAGGTTCGTTAAATCGCAAACTAAAATTATCCCCGAACGTCCTCAGATAGCGTACTTACTCGCCTCTCAAAAATCTCTACACTCAGTGCGTGTAAACTATTCACTGCCGAGCTAGTAGCTTGCTCTTTTTCCTTGTCAGGTCGCGTCAGCGGCAACGGCGAAGGCAGCGCGCAGCCGCACTGAAATTAAACATCAACAAAAACAAGGTCGTACGAGAACGTCAAACGTGCTCGTTCACGTTAAACTGCGTGGTACCATTGACCCGATCGTGTGACGTCAGAGCTGTCGTTTGACACACTAGATTACTACTGTATTTTCGTTGTTGTTTTTAATATGGGTATTTTAACATTGATTTAAATTTATATTCAATATATGTTCAATAATATAGAGCTGATATCTATAACTGTTTAATTTGGTTGAAATAGCTATTAATAGTTTGTTGAAACATATTCTGTTTGCTCACAGATGGTATTTCTAAACATTTTACACATTCTTATGACAGAGACAGTGGTGTAGGGTGGATTGTTCTCCAGTTGGAGTTGGCCATCTACCCTTCAAATGCCAACGCATCCCTGGGAAAGAAATCAACCCCCGAGTTGCTCCTGTTGGTGGACAAACACCCTATATGTGTGTGAGTGTGTGAATGTAAAGCCCTTTGTAGAGCCCCAAAAGGAGCTGTACAATGTTAAAAGGCACTGTATAGAAGCAGACAATTCACCATTACAGGCGGCTTACTGGATTTTTCCGAAGTTGACTTATTGTTGGCATGAGCACCCAAGTATGGAATCACAAAGCTGATAAGCACTTTAACTCGTTGAACTCTAGTCTTGTCCGTTTTTATACCTTGATAAATGCAGGCAGGATACGTTTGGCCTCTCTGCTGTTGTATACTCTGCTGACTAGGCGTCAGAGTTGGATGTTTCCAGTTGCTAGTGACAATACCAATTCTCTGTATTTACTCTGTCTCTTCCTCTAAACAGAGAGAAAATAAATATAGACATGTTTCCTAACCTGAGAAAAAGAAAAAAAAGAAAGAAAAAAAGCCATCTCACCACTCAAAGGATGTGCACATTTAATCATTTCCAAATGATAATGAGGAAACTGAACATTTTCTGAATCACATTGTAGGACTTTGGGAAAGACACTTACCCACCATTTATTATAATATTAAAATATTTCAATGTTCATTAGATGGAGACTGATCATCGATGGAGATTTAAATATATAAATGCTTAAATATGATCGCCTAAATGAGAAACCAGTTGCGCTTCATCCTTGCACAACTCCGATGTTAGAATGAAAGCAAAGGTCAATTGGAAGTTCAGATTAGATTTTTTTCTATAATCTCTCCAGGGTGTGGGGCTGTCAGAGAAGAGGCAAGTGGACACCAGCTTTACCTATAATTAACAAAGCTACGCGAAAGTCAAGTACGGACACTATAATACCACTTGTGTGTTTGTATGTCTTCTTTAGCTTGGTAAATAGAAAGGAAGGCAATTAAAAGTTAAAAATAAAAAACTGAAACTTACTTGTTGACATTTCAGTTTCAAAAGGCTGGATGATGACGCAACGCCTTGCTGAAACCAATAATGCAAAGTTTTAACCACCCCAATACTTTGGGAATTTACTGCAAACGTGTTCATCTTTGTTTGAATGGTACCGTGTATTTTTCAGACATTTGTCACTAATATCTTAGTAAAATAATTTCCCTATTGGCAAAATAAACCAAAAAAAACAAACCAAACAGACTGATGGTTAGAAGTGGTCTCCTCTCATTTGAGCTAGTCCGAGTAAAGTTTCAGTTCTCTGAGTCACCCTTTGCTTACATTAAGCCCTTAATTGTTACCATGCCTTTCACAATCCCCATCAAACCAGACACACTTTTTTAATACCGAACTCAGCAGGTCCATTACCACGTGTATAGAAGATAAAAGAGGAATTCTTTTAAACAATTTCAACCCAATTGACATCATGGAAAATGTTTTCGACTTTTTCATTTAAATGTTCCGTTTAAGACTATGGAGATGTCGACCAAACTAAAATCTGAATGAACACATATCTTACTCGTAGGGAAAAACAGTGAACCAAGAAAAAGTATTGTTTGCGTTTGTGGTATGAAATCCAAAAAGCAAACAAACAAACAAAAAAAACAGTGTGTGAATGACAGAAATCTCTAAAATCAAAGCTTTTCCGGTAAAATTTCCAGCAAGGCCAGCAGACCATTTCTCCTCTCCCAAAATCACTTGAGGCTCAAAGTGCCAAGTCAAAAGTCAAACAATATGAAATGACTCTATTGCACTGTGACGTGGCTGCAAAAGCAACCCTCACATTTCTCTGTCTTTCTTTAAACCCCGCCCCCACTGTTTTCCAGTGAAAGTTAAAACCATCACTTTTGCAAGTTAACATATCTTACATTATTATATCAACCTCTTTATTTTTAAATCAAAGTGTCAGTGTTCTATTTTAAATAAGTTGATAATTATGAAAGGTGTGTGCCCGTGCGGTATGTGACACATCAGTGCCAATACATCATGGGATATTTCTCAATTTCTTACACCTCTCCTACTCCTTCAAGCAGGCTTTCCAGTGCAGGTCAAAGAGCACAATGGGGCAGTAGTACTCTTGTGTTCATACTTATGATGACAAATTATCTATTAATGCAATTCCTAAAACAGAAAGCAAAGAAACTGAATTTGAAACCAACATGAAAAGTGCCCAAAATGAACTGTAAAAACCAACAAGAATGAGTGAAAGCATAAAGTAGAACAGAAACAGGTGCGGGCACACCAGCACAGAGGTCACTCCTTGCGAGTCAGTTCTCTGTCTGTGCTTTTTCCCCCTCTTTTGTTTTTATTTGTTAATGTAAAACTGTTCTGTTTGAAGAAAGCGTCCACAAGCCCACCTATCCCCTCCACTGTCTACTAGGTCTGCTGTGAGCAGTGGAAGATGGCAGGTTATTTTTTTTTAGAGATTCTAAAGTTCAAACTGGTCATTCGTGGATGCACCCAGAGTTTGTAACCAGCTCCTCCTTATTCAGCTTTGCATTTAGTTTTGTTTTTTGCCTGCAGTCAGATAAACACTTCCAAGTGGAAGCAAATCAGAATGGCATCAACTGCCACAGCTCAGTTATTCCTCCTATTCACGAATATTCTAGCAGTACCAAATCCTGGAACACCCTCAAGAAGCATGGTTACAGTTTAACCTCCTCCACTCTAGGCACAGTCATTAAGAAGTGCTGACACACAATGCGGTTTAGCACAGAGAAATACAACAGTCTCCCAGCAGTCCCTTCCACAGCCAAGGCAAGGACAGGGCATGGTATGATAGGGCGGGTGGAAGGAAAGGGGCTGTTGGGTGGTAGTGGGAGGCATGCCCTGGGTAGAGCTTTGGTTAGCCGACTGGCTAGGTTCAGCTAGCCGTGGCACGAGCCATCAGGTCCTCCAAAGCCTTGTCCTGATCGTTGTTGTGGACTAGCAGCACCTCTTTGATGGTATCCCGCTCAAATCCCATTTCACCAAATCTTGACATCAGCTCAAGAAACTGCAATGCCTAGGAAGAGTGAAAAATATGTTGAAATTACATTGTTGTTGTTCTTATTGTATTCTTAAACCTTTTTAGCCTCTCAGGTCCACTGACAGTTTTTCCTCATCTTTTTGAGATGTATATTTGGTCGTACAAACCTTTTCTTCTGAGCACTGGTACATCTCTAAACATTCCTCCACTGCACTTTCATCAAAGCCACGTTCACACAGACGACCGTGGACAAATAGATAGTCCAGTACCTTGGACAGACAATAAGTAAATGTTTATTATGTGTGAAGTAAAACAAAAACTAATTCAAATACGCACATAAAAGACAACTTTAATAGCAATGTGGTACTAATAGGTTTTGTAAGTTTTTACAGTGAACCGAAATAACATCATATTAGTTCTTACTCTGTAATTCCTGCTCTGTGAGCCTATCATCTCACATTACTGAGTCACAATTCTACCTCATCACTCAAACTTCACCAGGTCAATGTAGATCACTTATACCAGTTATACCACATTTACTCATAATTTTCATAATCATCTAACCATGGACAAACATTGTATCATTGGTTTTAAGTATTTCATACTAGCTCTACACAACCTGATCTATTGCCTTAACTTTTCACAAAAAGAGTGAGTGGAGTGCAAAACATTTATTTTAATACATGTGCACACTGACAAAAACATATAGACAAAACGAAGTGCTAAGCACCAGGCAGCAAATAGGTTATGAATCCAAATTTGTGCACGTTGGAGTAGGAGGGAGTCACACCTGCTCCACATTCTGCCCTTGTCTTTGCATGGCCCGCAGGACGCCTTCATAAGAGTAGCCCATGCCCACAAGCGTCTCCACACACTGACGCTCGCTGGGAGTCATGCTGAGGAGGGCTCCACCACACGGTAGACCAGCAGATCCTGACCCTAGAATGGCCTAATGGCGGTGGGGGCAAAAGCATGAATATCAATACAGCTCAAAGAACTGTTTTTAACCATCCCTTGATATGCGCTTTTAATATTTTTATGTATCAAACATGTCGAGTCTTCATGAAGGGGAATGTATGTTTTCTACTTGCACAGTCAGCCCGCACGCAGTGTATGGTTTTGGGACCAAAGACAAAGCAAAGTTTGGGCATTTTTTAAATTTTTAATTCTGCAGGTTTTTTTTAATATGGCACAGAAGCATTGAAATTTTGTAACATGATAAGTTAACATCTAAAGTGCATGGTAGACTATTTAATACACCTAAAGCGAAAAGAATTTCCCATAGAGCCATATTATTATTTTATTTTATTTTTTTAAAAACGAAAAAATAGACTTCACCTTGCATAAAAATAAATAGGAGACTTGCATAGTTTCACTGTTGCAGAGTAGAGCTCTGCAGCGTGCTCACAACACTTGTGTACGCTCTTGCCTGGTTAACCAAGTTTCATTATTATAGTGGAAGTTGCAGCTGAAGTGTTCAATGTATACACTGAATTATACTCACAGGCTTTGGTGTACCACTCTTGGTGTGGCTGGCTAGCTCAGGAGCAACAATAACCTGGGCCTTGGGCATGGTTGGTGGGCTGCCATTGGGCAGGTTCTGTCGGGGAGCAGGAACGGTGGTGGGGAGAGGAGTGTATCTCAGTGGTTCTGGGTCACCAGAATCAGAGAGCTTGGGGAAAGTCAGAGAGCGAATGTTACAAGGGCGATCATCTGT